TTGTGCAAGTATAGACCATATAAACCACAAATTCCATTGGAAAGTGATGCAGTACGAGAACAATACTTTGCATTTTTTTGACAACTCGAATTGCCAAAATTAAATAGGTTTTTTATAAATTTGTACACAAATTTGGGTGCTTATTTCCGAACTCCGTGTATTGTTGATACGTATGTACAGTACAGTCCACAGCCTTTCTCAATAACAGTTGGACATTTTTCGCTAACTAATTCCAACCAAATGCCACCTTCACCTCCTAACAGTCAGCCAGCTAAACCGAAATCTGCATTGGATTTAGTTGTTAATAAATTGGTCAGAGCATCCGTGGGTGGTGTTCCTTCTACGCTGTGTGACGAAGATTTGGACAAGTATGTAGCTGAATTAGTACTGAAAGAAGCTTCGGCCAAGAACAAGTTATACAACAAAGAAGGGGTTAGAGCATATTTACCACATACAGGAGCGTGAGTATGAATGCAAATGACAAAGTCCAAGTTGTTTTTTTATGAAACTTCTTTTAATTTTATCATAATTCTCTTTTAGCCCACCTTGCAATCTTCCAAAAGCGAATAAACGATTCTTGTTCAATATTGTGAAAAATGTTGATGATCATAATCAAGCATTGATTAAGAAAACCGAGGAAGAGGCAGCAGCTCGTATGCGTAGACTAAGGCGTTTGCAAAAACGTCGTTCAAGTAATAGCAAAAAACGTAAAAGCAAGGAAAAAGAACGTAAAAAATCAAGATGGGATGACCATCATTCCCGTCGAAATTATAGCGACACTGAATCCGACAGTGAAGACGAATCAGATATGGATACATCTTCATCGAGGTGAGAGAATCTGTGTTGCTACTTTTTCCTTGTGCAAATTAGTGATCTATTCGTTTGCTTTTTTTTTTTTACCAATAGCGAAGATGATGATTCTGGTCCGTGCGATTCCAAGACTAGTTCACAGAAATCCTCGTTAAATAATGATGAAAAGACAGCTTTGGCAGGCTCCTCCACGAGCCCAACGATTATACGTAAAGGACGTGGTGAAGTTAGTGATGGGACAAAGATGGATAAATATTTCCGTAAAGACTATAATCCTATTAATGACATTGAACCTTTTATTAAAGAGTATGGGTGGCTTAATTATCAGGAGTTCGAAGCTAGTTTGCCAATGAAGGCGAATAAGGTCGAGGAAAAGAGTCTGCCAGTGAAGACAAATAAGGTCGAGGAAAAGAGTCTGCCAGTGAAGACAAATAAGGTTGAGGAAAAGAGTTTGCCAGTGAAGGCAAATAAGGTCGAGGAAAAGAAAAAGAAGAAAAAAAGTCATAAGGAAAAGTCAAAACATAAAAAGAAGAAACACAAATCTAGTGGTAAATCAAAAAAGAAACGAAAAAGAGACATTGATTCGGGTTCGTCTTCAGGTTCAGACAATGATTCGAGTTTTGAATCTCATAAGAAAGTAAAGAAAGGTGACGGCGAGGAAAAGGAAGAAAAGGAGGAAAAACGTATAATCATACGTGAATGGGACATACCAAAGTTGGCATCGGGTTCATGGAATATCGAAAGATTCATGCAATCGCCGTCAACCTGTCCTTGGTAAAAGCATGAATTTCCAGATTTTGGAAAATTTATTTAAAAACATATTTTGTAATAAAGCCAATTATTATATCGCGGGTACAAATTGAAAAAATTACATTTTGGAATTTTTTTTTAAATTGCGTCGGTTGCTAAAACAAATAAATGAAGTACGTATTCTACATTGAACTTGTATAGAAACAAAAATGGCTTGCTATAGAATTTATGCCCAACCATAAGTCAATCTTCGTGGATGAGACAAATAACTAAATGTTGCACAAAACATGACATGTGATTACGTCGACCAAATGATGATCTGAAATTTTTTATTCACGAAAAATTTTTTTTTTTTGAAAACCTCCTTCCTTGATACAAACAAGATCATCTTTATTTTTGATATTTCGTATGTATCATGATCAAATGAAAAATTCGATTAATTTGTATACTCATTGTTGTTATTCTTTATAGTGGAGGAAAATGTCGGCTGATTTAATTTGGTATCTCGATTTTTTTGCACGAACTTTCTTCAAAGAGGTTATAATTTTATCAAACATCTTAGATTCGATCCGTAATGTTATTTTAGGGCTATTGTCAGGGACAACAATTCATTCTTGGTCAAGCGTAATGGGGCTCAATTTACCTTTGAACCTAATAATTTGACCAACCTGAATTCGTTCAAATATTCGGGACTCGCAAATAAGAAGGTTTGTGTATGCTCTCAACAGGTTAAACCGATCAAAGTTGTGGAAGCCTTAAACTGTGCTCAAAAATTTTTTAGACAATCGGTATAAGTTCTGCCCCTGATAATAGGGGCGTGGTCGTTACCTCTAAAAAAAACAATGTTGCGTCTTTCAGACCAACAAAAACTGTGCACAAGGTTGCTCTCTCAAAGGGCGTTCGTAAGTCTGCTAAAAGTTTTACCAATTTATACACCCGTGCTGGATACCGTCCTGATTTGCGCAAGGTTGGTTCACTTGTAATTTTTCCTTTTTATGGCGTTT